ATGAGTGAGTGGCTGCAGCATAGGCATTTAACCACTGCGCCATCAGGGCTCCTATAACATAGATAGCCATTGTAGAACATACAATGTTCTCCTCAAGTGAATCATCTATATAGAAGAGGTTGGGAACTTGTGGCTCTCCCATTGCCATTGGATTACAGGTCCCATCATCTCTTACTCTTGGCCACACTTGCTATGGCTATCTATGGTATACACATCACGGTGGGCCTGAGTGTCCCCATGTTGGAGTAACAGGAATGTTAAGGATAGTTTAAAAGAGCCATGATTAATAAGACTGAAGAATGAATGCAGTTTGACACCACATTGACTATCATGGCTCCATCCTCTGGAAACGGGATTTGTAGTTTGTTGTGGCCCCAGAGTGGCTTTTACCGCAAGAACCAGAACTCTTCCTCAGGCAGAATGTTGCTTTATAGACTAGCAATCTAGGCCAACCCAAGAAAAGTTGCTGCCTGAGACAAAGGCCAAATATAGTAGCAAACATGAGTAACAACTGAATCTTCTATCAAGGCAGTTGACAGGACAGCATCCTCCGCTGTATCTGAAAGCAGCAGGCTAGCTTTGAGGACTGATAACCAGAACTTGGGAAAGTTACTTTTTTGCGACTCCAAGCCTACGTAAGTCAATAACTGCAGTCTGGGGGAGTCTTGAAGGAGATGCAACCCAAAAAGTCTTTTTTCCCCAAGCACTGGCCTACACTGTGCATCCTGATTTAACCTTATTTATTAATATAGCATTTTATGAAAGTTTTTAAAATTATAGCATGAATCTCTAGGGCAGGAAAGGACAGAAACAAAATAATTACTTTCTTTTTTTAAGAAAACTTCTTGGACTTATTTACTGGGGAGGGGGAAATAGACCCTCCCTCACCCACATACAAGTAACTCTTTTTTGCTCAACTCCTCTTGCTCCTTCTCCAACCATAGTCCTTTGTCTTTGCCATTTGTTCCTGGGGTGTAAATTCATAGAATCACATTTTCTGGATTACTTCATAATTCCAGGGCTAGCAACCAAACAAGTAGAAAGCACTGAGCTGCCGAAAGACCTGGAAAATTAGAACAGCGGCAGCTGCAGGCAAAGAAGGGGAGATTTGGTCTTAATGACTGTAAAGTCCTGCCCTTGGAGAAAAGGAAATAAACAACGTCGTCGCTACAGTTGTTGGCAATGAGCTGTTTCAGTCATCACTCTAACGTGAGGGTCTTTCAGGTTCTTCCTTTAATTTGCTCATGACTATCCTTTTTCCAAAAGCCAACTGTGCAGCTGCTGTAACAGGGATGAGGATTAAGGATGGAGGGGAAGACATTAAATGATCTGCCACTGGGACATGTGCAGGGGACAGAATTATGCAAGGACTCAGGGCTCTTTCTTACTAGATTGGGAAACATTACTTTGCTTGCATCCCTATTTTTAGTAGGGTCGACTCTACCATAGGGCAACTGCCTTTGGTGGCAGATGTTGGGATCCACAGAGCAGGAAAAAAGGGTAATTCTTCTGCCTTTCAGACTACTAGGTTTATCAGACAGCAGTTTCAGGAACGGAAACTGAACAGAATGGAATGGCACAGAACAAGGCGAGAACGCAAGTTACTACACAGGAGAATGCCGCCAATGCTGCCGGGAGTCCCCAATCTGTTCCCCAGCCATTCCTGGCAATCGATTTTCAAGAATGATTTTGAACCATTCTTCAAAATCAGCTGCCAGGAATGGTTTGGGGACTCCCAGCAGCATTGAGGGCATTCTCCTATGCAGTAACTTGCGTTCGCACCCTGTTCCATGCCATTCCATTCTGTTCAGTTCCTGTTCCTGAAAGTGCCATGTGATAAACTTATCAGTTTCCCCGAACCTCCCAGACACCATGCCCAGGAGCTGTAATCTAAAGTAGATTTTCCAAGCTCTGATCCTGATAGATGGTAGAACTGTGATAACTCCAATGTTTAGAAAAGGTATGAGGATATGGGGAAATCTTATAGGACATATCATTAAATGGTCGGCTGTGCACACTTGGAAAGGAATGTGGTGATTATTAAGAGGCAGCATGGGGTTCTCAAAAACAAGTCATGTCAAACTCTCAGTTTTTATATAATTACAAGCTTGGTAGATCAGGGGAATGCTATGGATGTAATATATCCTGATTTCAGTAAGGCTTTTGACAAGGCCTCCCATGATATTGTTGCATAGTCTGGTGAACTGTGTGCTCGAGAGTGTTGCAGTTAGGTGGATCTTTAACTGGTTTGACATATTGAATCCAGACAATACTCAGCAATGGTTGCTCTTCATCCTCAAAAGAAATGATGAGTGGAGAGTCTTGAGGTTTGGTACTGGTCCTAGTGTTATTTAACATCTTTCTAACTGAATAACCTCAGGCTCTTAGATGAGAGAATAGAAGACATACCTATCAAATTTGCAGATGACACCAACTGGGGGGGGTAGCTAATGCTCCAGAGGATAGGATCAGAATTCAAAATGACTGTGACACACTGAAGAGCTGGGCCAAAACTAACACAATTAATTTCAACATGAGATGTGTAGGGTACTACACTTAGAGAGGGGAAAAATGAGGTGGGGGACTGAACCCCACAGATATGGAGAGTACCAACCATATGGTGCACAATTTGTTGGATCTAACTATCTTGGCCAAGTGTGATTTCCAATAAGTGTCAGAGAGTTTGGAGTCTCCCAAAGTCCCTGCTTTCTGAATATTTGGTCATTTGTGGAAGGCATCATCCAAATCTTCAATCAGGCTGGGGTACCTATAGAAGACCCCTAAAATGAGGTCACTATTGTTTCTCTTATCTTTCAGTTTTACCCAGATGCTCTCAACTTGCTTTCTATGTTTAAGTCATGGATCTCCTGACGGGTGTATACCTCCTTGACATACAATGCTATTCCTACTCCTCTCCTGTCTACTTCTTTGGAATAGGTTCTACTAGAGCCCTTCCAACAAAGATCTGATTTAATTCTGGAAATTCTGGAAATATGAAGTGCCTTTAATTCTGGGAATATGAAGTGCAACATGGAGGTTGGGGCGTCCCTAACCTATGGATTTTTTATGATACAATCGGTTCAACTGGGTTTCCTTACAAACAGAAAACTGAGCTAATACTTTTGATTTTATATACTATATATAACTGAGCTAATACTTTTGATTTTATATACTATATATAAAAAAAGTATTAGCTCAGTTTTCTGTTTGTAAAGAAATTCCAGTTGAACTTCTGTCATCTTCCAACATAAATACCAGAAAATGTTTCAATTGAAATAAATCCAAAGGTTAGCATACATTATCCTCATTTGTAACCTTGACAGATTTTTATTTACTATAAATTTATTTAACATTGTTTGCCAGTTGTTTAGGACCTTATAATGGGGCATTAGTGGTATTATCTGATTGGAAGTGCAGTCATTTTAATTGCTTCTATTCAACCTAGGAGAAACATGTTTATTTCACTTGATCATATCTTGTTTCATCTTCCTAATTGTCAAATTACAGTTATAGGATAAAATATTATTCAAATTCTTATACATTTGAACTCCCAAGTACTTAACATATTTTAATTGTATTTTTATTTTAAAAGGATGATGAATCATTCTTTGTGTCAGTAACATTAATGTGAAATAATTATGTTAGGGTTAATATTTGTGTGAAAAGACTCAGACTTATTGGCGTTTATTGTTAATCCTGCTAATTTACAATCATAACTAATTTCTTTAAATACTGTTGCAAGGTCAGGGTTAGCTAAAAATAAAACTACATCATCTGCATACCAGTAAGATGCTCACTATGTTCAATTCTATATCTCCGTTATTTGTGAGTTGTCTTTTAATGCTTGCACCAAAGGTTCTAATGAAATAATGTATAGGAATGGAGGTAATGGGCAACCCTGCTTAGTACTGCAAGATAATGAAAAAATGAGAGAATCCCAGTTGTTAACTCACACAGTATCTGTTGAAATATGATACGACTTCTGTATAGGAATGGGAAGGGCAGCTATGGAAGAACTAGATAAGATCCTAAAGAGCAAAGATATACAATTGAGCACTAAAGTTAGACTAGGCCAATCCGTTATATTCCCTATCACCGTACGAATGTACGGATGCAAGAGCTGGACAGTCTGGAAAGCTTCCGTCTCAATTTTCTTAGCCTTTACCACCATTCAGATGCAGCAGACAGTTGAGCACAGAAAAAATTACACTGGGGAGTTATAGTTTCTAGGAACCCTCTGCCACTATGATCAGGGTGGGGGAAGATCCTAAGGGAAACCATTTTCAAGAATAATTTTTTGTGGGTTTTTCGGGCTGTGTGGCCATGTTCTAGCAGAGTTTCTTTCTGACGTTTTGCCAGCATCTGTGGTTGGCATCTTCAGAGAATGCTGGAATGGAAGAGAGTTTCCCTCCTCCCTACCCAGGGTCTCACAGTATATATAGACCCACTCTCTTCCATTCCAGCATTCTCTGAAGATGCCAGCCACAGATGCTGGCGAAACGTCAGAAAGAAACTGTTCTAGAACATGACCGCACAGCCCGAAAAACCCACAAAAAAGTATGGATGCCAGCCATGAAAGCATTTGACATTTTCAAGAATGTCTGGGCCCCGAACATTGGAGCCCTGACTAATGTGATGCTTCTGTAACCATCATTCTT